AATAAAGAAAAACAAAAATTTGAAAAAAAGGGGGGTGGGGACGTTTAAAACCCAAATTGGAAAAAAATTTTTTAAACCCCAAAATTATTTTTAAAAAAAACCGGAAATTTTTACTTTAAGGGGGGGGTTAAGTTTCCCCTTAAAAAAACCCCGGCCCAAACCCTCGAAAAAAGGCCTTTGAGAAGTTTAAAGAATAAAAAAAACCTTTTTTAAACAATTAAATTTCCCCCCAACGCTTTAAAAAAGAAAACGCAAAACTAAATTGTCCCGTCCCCAATAAAAAAGTTTATCTTTTTAAAGATTTTGCTTCCACCTACCCAAAAAAAAAAACCCTAACGCTCCATTAGCCAAAATTTGGTAAAATTAATCACAAAAAAAACGTGCAAAAATGGAACCGAACCAAAAGGTTGTTAAGAAAATTGATTTTTTTTAAAAAATTTTAAAATGAAATTTTGTTGGGGACAAACATTAATTTCCTGTTTTGGGGAAAAATTTGAACTGGGCAAGGGTGGAAAAACAGACCTTTTTTTGTCCTTTAATTTAAAAATTCGGTTTTGTTTTAAAACAAAATGCGGGAAAAAAGAAAACCTTAAATTTGGGCCTTCTCTAAACCTAAAAAACCTTAAAATTTTTTAACCAAACTCCCGGAAAATGTTTGTTACTTCCGGGGAGCATTTTTTGGAATGGAGAAGCCCCGGGATGGAGGATCCTGGGATGAGAAGGCCCTTTGGGATTTAGAGGGGCCCCCGGTTTGGAGGGAATTTAACCCCCCCTTTGGGGGGGCCCTGGGGTGGGAAAAATCCCCGGGAGGAAAGGGGCCATTTTTGAAAACCCCGGTAGGGGGAAAGGCCCTGGGTTTGGGGAACCCCCCGGTATGGGGGAGGGGCCCTTTGGTTTAAAGGAGAAAACCCCCGGACGAAGAATAAGGTAGATTAAAATGATGCACACAACCTTTTTTCTTAATGGCGAGGTCAGGTTTCTCCCCCGTCCCGCCCTCAAACCCCATGGGCGTCAAAAAATGAAACCCCCACTTAGGTTCTTGAAACGATGCTTCCTATTTCAAAAATAAAGAGTTTCAAATTTAAACCCAAAATCAAGGTTTCTTCAAAAACCCCAAACGTTTAAAGTCCCCTGTCCCCGGGGTGAGTTTTTGTTTGTGCTTTAAATTTTTTTCTTTTTGTTTTATTTCCTTTTGTGGAAATTTTTTAAACCACATAGAGCCCCGCCGTTTTTCTTTCCTCTTTTTTTGTAATGGGCAGTCACCTCGTTTTCACCTTCGGCCCCTTTTCCATCAAAAGGGGTTTTTTTGAGGTTTCCCTTTGGCTCCCCCGTTTTTTTTAATCCCTCTTTCCTTGGGCCATTTCTACATCCCCTGTTCATCTCTCCCCGGTCCCACACGGTTTTCCGGAAGTGTTCTCATCCCCCCAAAATTTTTTTAATATTTGGGTCCCCTTTTGAGGCCCCCGTCTGGCCCCCCTTTTTTCCCTCGTTACGTTTTCTTCCACTACGGCCCCCCTTAAAATTTTCTTTAGCGTAACTTTTTCCCCGATTTTAATTTTAAAAATGATACCCTTTAGGGGCCCGTTTTTTAAATGCGTTTGACTAGTTTTTTGCTGGAATTTCCCACACTTTTTCAACCAAATGCAAAAGTTGAATCAAGAGAAAAAAGAAAAAACATTTAAAAAAGATAATTTGGCAAAGTTTGGGGCTCAAATTTCTGATGGCCCCAGGACAGGACAAAGAAAAAACAACTGGGAAAAAGTTTTAAATTTTTTGGGGATTGGGGTATACGAAGATTAGGTCTTTTTCATGGACCCCAAAAATATCAAAAAAGAGGGGACTAAAAATTGGGAAAAGAAAAAGAGTTTCTAGGGGAAATAAAAAAAAGGGCAATTGGGAAAAATTTTGGTCCCTTTAAAAAACATAACATGGGAAAGATCATCCTAAAGGAAAAATTTAAAGGAGGGGAACAAGAGGGAGACCCCGTTACAAGTGGGAGGATAAAAAACAAGAAATTGGGCGAAAAGCAGAAAGTGAGTTAAAACAAGGGCAAGAAAAACAGGGCCCCTTTTTGGGGGATCCCTTTCAGCCAAAATTCATTGGGGGAGACGGGACCGAATTTTATTGGAAGGTTTTTTAATCCCGGACATTTATTAATTTTAAATTTTGGGTTTTTTAAATTAGTTTTTCTGGCCATCATTATGGGGGGGGAAATTAAAAGTAGCAGCAAAACGCATTATTAATTTCCTCCCACTAGAGAAAAAGTGGCAACAGAAACCCCTAGTGTCCATAATCGTTTTCGTCGTCTTCTAGTAGTTTTCCCGGGTTTAAAAATTTACGCTAGGGGAGCCGGAACTTTTCGAAACAAGGCCCAAAAATTTTTTCTTCGGGCGGTGGCCGAAAGCATTTTTGGGTCCTTTTTAGACCGGATTAGTTTGTCGCCCAAACTTAAATTGGGGAAAAACTGGGCACTGTGAGCTGCGGGGTTTCTTTTGGGAAGTTTTTTTTACTGTGACCAAAGGGGGGTTGGAAATTTTAGATTCAAAAAAATGGCTTGATGCTTCGTACAAAGTTGGCGGTGCCCCCAGTGATTAAAATTTTATCGCGTTGGGGAACTGCTGATCTGTTGGCGACAAATTCGTATCATCAAAGATGAAATGCATTTCTAATTTTGGGCTGTTTTTGTTAGCAATTCGGGTGGCTACCGTTGGCCCTTTTGGGGAGTGTAAAAGTATCTGAGACAGCAGTCTGGAAAAATTTTTCCCCAAGGGACTTTTATAAACATTCTGTTTTTTTTTTCGTTGGCCACAGGGGGAACCAAAAAATGGGGGGACCCGTTTTTCTAAAGAAACTAACTTAAAACTACCAGACACCCGACTACCATTAGTAGAGCACACGGAGCCCAACAGAAGCATGGCAGCATTTTACCTATTCATGTGGCTAGTAGTAGCCAGTAGTAGCCCAGCAGCAGTTTTTGTTAAAGTTGCAGTTTTAGAAAGGTAGTGCTAGTTGTTGCTTTTGTAGTAGTGCTAGTGGTGGCTTTTGTAGTAGTGGTAGTGTTGGCTTTTGTAGTAGTGCTAGTGGTGGCTTTTGTAGTAGTGCTAGTGGTGGCTTTTGTAGTGGTAGTCTCAGAAAAAAAAACCTGACCATGTCGTATTTTAAAAGAAAACACAGATAATTTATTCCAAAATTTATCACTGAGCATATTTTACTGTAACTCATCAGCAGCTCGCTGCACCCTTTAATAAAAACTGTCTAAAGCGAAACATGAAAACTTTCACATGAAATATTCCCGGGAATAAACTGTGCTGTATATTCTTTGTGTTTTAATTTTTTTTTTAAATCATCATCATCATGTAGCAGGTCTTTTGCAGAATGTCGCTATCATCACGGTCTGTCTGGAAAAAAAAAAAACTCGGTCTCTCTCCAGCTCTCCCGCCTCATGCACTTTCATACTCAAGGAGTCACTTATATCCTGTGTCCATGTTCGTGTTGGTCGGCCCCTGTCCCTCCTTCCTGATACCATGCCTTCCGCTATTATTTTTTTCCAATCAGTTGTGGCGCTTGATATGACCAAAATATTTCAGCTTCCGAGACAGGATGCTGTTTATTAGCCAATCTTCCTTGATGTCAGTATTTCTCCTCTTCTTTGTCCAAGATATTCTGAGAATCTTTCTATATAATTTGAGCTCAAAAGCCCCTAATCTCTTTCTTTTAAAAAACTAAAGGAAAAAATACTGCATTACCCATTTGTCCTCTCCATTAGGGCTTTTAAAATTTGTGTTTAGTTGAAACAAAAAAAAAACAAAAAAAAAAAAACAGTCAAGATCCATATTTACGCCTTATGCGAATCGGGAATATGGGAAGAGCATCCCAAATTTTTACAGCCCAATCGGCACTTGGTGGGTAATGTGGTCAGCATTACGCCAGTCGTGTTTACTTTCCCAGGACAGCCATCCTAGTACCCACTTAAGGCTGGGTCGAACTGCGATGCCCCGTACCATGATAAAAACCCACGCAGCCAGCAGTGGGTTTCGATCGCGGTATGTTGGAATTACGAGTCGGACTCGCAATGCCTAAGCCACAGACGCCGCCTAAAACTTGTGTAATGTGTGAGCAAGGTAAGATACAACCTGCTGCGAGCAAGTCAGCTTCTCAGTTTAATCAATTTTTAAAGGGAATTTGGCTGACTTTAATCACCGTATACCTTCTACCAAAAAATGGTTTCGCATCCACAAAAACACGTTTAGCGTCATTATACTGACACTAACAATCGATTATAGATCTGAGCCCGTTCAAGTAGGCTTATAAACATCAAACCTCAGTAAACACGTATACAGACTCCAGGCATGTTTTACGTCTTTATAGTCGTCAGACTTGTGAAAGGAATTTTATGAAGGTCAGTTATGAAAAACAAACTTTATAAGCGTCACTTATAAAAGTCAGTTTATAAACGTCACATTGAGTGCTGGGAGTTTCCTTTAGTACTGACGTGAGTTGGATTAGATGTTATAAGTAAGTAAAGGTCAGTGACAGGCTTCGTTCGCTCCGCCTCCAAAAAATAATTGCAAAGACCATCTCTGCTAGTCGTGTGATGGTGTGATCAACAGTTGTCACGTAAATAGGTCTGACTACAATAGGCCTGATGTCAAGTCATATGCGAACACATCACAGACTAGAAATCTCAGCGGAGGGAACAAATGACGGTCTGTGTTTGTTTTTTGCTTTGTCCCTTGATAAAGACTGATTGAAAAGTATAGATGTATTTGTGCTGGAATTTTCCCTTTGAACTGTTAGAGAACGTCGGAAAACGCTGAAACACCAAGTTGCCAGCACCAGAATCACCACGTAGAGAAACGTGTGTACTCATCAGCCCCCAACCAAACCACAGATTCTTGATGCAGAGTGAAATTGAGAAACATGGCCTCATATTACAGTCCTAATGATCAAATATCCATTACTTAAAGGCATATAGTTCATCAGTTTAAACAAAAAATAATATTAATAATAATAATGAAAAAAATAATAACAACATCGCCAACATAATACATTTTTGAATGACAGGATTAGAGTTATAATCGCCAAATTCTGCCCCAGACAGTGTACCTTGAGAAACAGAGAAAGAGGGATTAGGACTCACGCATTCCTTATTTATTAGGAAGAAATCAACGATTCAAATAGCTTATATGTGACCTTACTAGGATCTTTATTAAACTTAAAATTAAGTAACTATAACTATCATCAAAACCAAGAAAATAAACTATCGTTTCTCACAAACCTGCAATATGTCAAAATATGAAGTCATGTTTCCTTTAGGCACAATGATCTCATCCATATCCATGATGATGATGAAGTCATACTTGGCCATTCTGTACTTACAGTCATTGGCAGCCATGACTTCATCCACCCATGCTTGTTGCTCAAATCTTGGCTTTGCTAATGTTCTTTTCTGGCCATCTGCCGACAATTTTCACAGTTCATTCGATATACTTGAGGGAAAGAGGCAGATAAAAGGGAGAAGAGGGATAAGGAGGAGGAGGAGAAAGAGGAGGAGGGGAAGGAAGGAAAGGAGGAAAGGGAGAAGGAGGAGGAGAAGAGCATCAATAGAAGCAACAAGAATAAAAAAGAACAAGAACAGGAAGAACGAGACCAAGAACAAGACGTACACAAAAAAGAACAAGAAAGCCTTAAAGAAGAACTAGAAAATTATTTTCAAAAAGATCCTATCTGCGCACAACAGGACTAATATAAATGTTGTCTTATAAGAGTAATTGGGGGTCTAATATAAAGAGTCTCAGGCTATTCTGAAGATTTCAGTTGGCAATCAACATATACTTCAGGTAATTATTAATTCGCTTATTTAGTTGTTAACGATAAATTATCTTTTTATAATAAGGATAATTTCACACTCGAAATGTAAACAGTCTCTTTGCAGTGGTAAGGTGAACAATCTGCATATGTTATGCAATAAACATGTTTATTATTGTATGCAGTAAGCATCTCTTGTTCTTGTTACTCTCGTTGTTTTTATTGCTGTTCTTTTTTCTTCTCTTTCTCCTTATCCTCTCCTCATTCTTCTCCTCCTTCTTCATTCTCCTACTTTTCTTTCTCATCCTCCTTCCTTCTAATACTCCTCCTTCCTTCTAATACTCCTTCTTCTCCTCCTCCTTTCTTCTCCTTCTGATCTTACTCACCCTTTCTCACCATTTTTCCCTGAAGTATGTCGAATCAGTTTTAAAAACTATTTATATTTGATCATAATTATTGGCTTACATAAATCAAACACATTCGCATGTGTGATTTTAAAAATCACACATGTGAAAATTTGTATACAATAATTATACAACTGTATCTTATAATCCAACAAAAGAGTCAGATGTTTATGTGCAATGATCCCCTGTTTAATAATTTTTCAAAACACCCCCCCCCCCCTTTTTTTTTACAAGAATCCCACATTCGAAAACAACTTGATTTTTTTTTTTAAGTATCACATATTTTAAAAATATTTAATGTGTTCAAGAATCATTCCAGTGATGCCTGCCGGTGGGTGAAATGGTAAAAACTGTGTAAAGGGATGTCTGTTGTGGTTTTCATGAGATACCACCCAGAAAGAATGAGTTAGCCATGGCAAGCGTATTGTTTTTTCCATGGGAAAAGAGGGTGGGGAAGGGGTGGGGTTGGGGGTCGGGGTTGGGGGGGGGGGGGGTAATCTGAGTAACATAATGTGTCATTTCGGGAAAAAAGGGATTTTATGGCATTATAGTGTACACACATGAGTGAGTATCCACGCCTCAATGAATATGAACACCTCAATGGGTATCCACGCCTCAATGAGTATCCACGCCTCAATGAGTATCCACGCCTCAATGAATATGAACACCTCAATGAGTATCCACGCCTCAATGAGTATCCACGCCTCAATGAATATGAACACCTCAATGAGTATCCACGCCTCAATGAATATGAACACCTCAATGAGTATCCACGCCTCAATGAGTATCCACACCTCAATGAGTATCCACACCTCAATGAGTATCCACACCTCAATGAGTATCCACACCTCAATGAGTATCCACACCTCAATGAGTATCCACGCCTCAATGAATATGAACACCTCAATGAGTATCCACGCCTCAATGAATATGAACACCTCAATGAGTATCCACGCCTCAATGAGTATCCACACCTCAATGAGTATCCACACCTCAATGAGTATCCACACCTCAATGAGTATCCACACCTCAATGAGTATCCACACCTCAATGAGTACCCACACCTCAATGAGTATCCACACCTCAATGAGTACCCACACCTCAATAAGTATCCACACCTCAATGAGTACCCACACCTCAATGAGTACCCACACCTCAATGAGTATCCACACCTCAATGAGTACCCACACCTCAATGAGTACCCACACCTCAATGAGTACCCACACCTCAATGAGTACCCACACCTCAATAAGTATCCACACCTCAATGAGTACCCACACCTCAATGAGTACCCACACCTCAATGAGTATCCACGCCTCAATGAATATGAACACCTCAATGAGTATCCACGCATCAATGAATATGAACACCTCAATGAGTATGCACGCCTCAATGAATATGAACACCTCAATGAGTATCCTCGCCTCAATGAGTATCCACACCTCAATGAGTATCCACGCCTCAATGAGTATCCACACCTCAATGAGTATCCACACCTCAATGAGTACCCACACCTTAATGAGTACCCACACCTCAATGAGTATCTACGGCTTAATGAGTACCCACACCTCAATGAGTACCCACACCTCAATGAGTACCCATACCTCAATGAGTACCCACACCTCAATGAGTACCCACGCCTCAATGAGTACCCACACCTTAATGACTATTCACGCCTCAATGAGTTCCCACACCTCAATGAGTACCCACACCTCAATGAGTATCTACGGCTCAATGAGTACCCACACCTTAATGAGTACCCACACCTCAATGAGTACCCACACCTCAGTGAGTATCTACGGCTCAATGAGTATCCATGCCTCAATGAGTACCCACACCACACCTCAATAAGTACCCACACCTCAATGAGTACCCACACCTCAATGTGTACACACACCTCAATGTGTACCCACACCTCAATGAGTACCCACACCTCAATGAGTATTCACGCCTCAGTGAGTATCCACGGCTTAATGCGTATCCACACCTCAATGAGTACCCACACCTCAATGTGTACCCACATTTTTGTGTGTGTTATTTCACAAGGTATAATCAGTCTGAAACTTTATAACCAACTACTGTACTACACAGGATTATTATAACATTTAATCATTGTTACACATTTACATATTAATAAGTTATTTATTTGGTAAATACTTTGATAGTCCACTACATCTAACACTTTGATAATCCACTGCATCTATTCTAGTGCTACAACATTCTATTAGTTGATTATTAATCTTTATCAAATAATATATCATTTTTCTTGCTGTCATATCTAATTTCTCAAGTGTGCTTAACTGATTTACTCTCCCATAAGTTAAACAAATATTAGTTAACTCTTCTTCTCAAACATCAACTGTATATATATATAGAATTATTTAGTTATAGGCTTGGTGGTTGGAAGAGTTACAGCCACTTTATTTTAAGGTATAGTATTGATACCCAGGGACATTTAGTTATTAATTCAAGTTACTAGTTCATTATATTGAACTTATATTGTTCTTTCAGGGTGTGTAATTTGTAAGTAAGGTATTGTAACTTTATTGTTGTTTACATTGTAAAGACATAAAAATGTCTAACTTGGCAGAGCTGATCAAACTAGGCAAAGAATTGAATTTAGAAGGGGAAGAACTTAGAAAGTTTTGTGATGAGAAGGAAAAGAAAATACAATACATTTGAACGAGAAGCGTTGGCACTAGTCATTAGTCTAAAAAAGTTTCAGAAGTTTCTTTTGGGAAAAGAATTCACTATTTTGACAGATAACTTGGGGTTGACAAAATTATTAACAATTGATGCCAATAGCAATTCAGGGGGATATAGATGGGCATTGTTGATATCACAATTCAAATTTAACATTGAACACATCAAAGGAACAGACAATCATTTACCAGATATCATGTCACGTTTGTAGAGTATGTTGCAACTGTTATTACAACTTGTATTAACTGAAATCCTTTTATGCAAGGGTATACATTGTGTTATTGAATGAATGTATTATGTGAAATTACAACTTGGAAAAATGTATATGTTTTGGTTTAATCGGGTATAATATAGTAAACAATTAGAATTAAAGGGAGACAACATTCAGGGTCAAAATACACCTCACCAAAAAGGATGTTAACATTTATTGGTGTACTTAATTAAAATGGTGTCACATTGATTATGTGGGTTAATATGACATGTTGTAGTTTCTGAAGACAAGGTAATTCACTAAATCTGGTACCTTGCATATTTGGGGACAGACCATACATTGCTGATTGAGCCATTGTTGAGGGCTTTCATGAATGGGAATAGCGAGGGTGGGACTTCATGGGGTCACACTTCGGTTTTAGAGCCAAGATTTTGGACTTCCGCACCGATCGGGGGGTGCCTGGAGAGGGGTTCGGTTGTATACCGACTTTAGAACTGGGTGGGGATACCTATGGAGCCAGATTATTGATCTTCCGCACTAAAAGGGGAGTGCCTGAAGTGAGGATCCCATCAAGGTATTCACAGTCGTGGAAAGACCCAACAGATGGCATTTTACATTGTTGAGTTGTTAACCTAATGAGGTAAAGGGAACTTGGTTGGAAATGAACTTGTCGAAAATGATTCACTACAAAGGTCTAGAATCACCATGTTCAGTGAAATGTTCACACCTGATTGATTGAAAATGTAAAACATTTTTTTTTTAATGTGGGGGAGAGTGTAGTGAGTCATTTTCTCCCCATTAATTTATGCCCGACAGATGACGTCAGTAATAGATGTAAGGGGAATGTTTTGACTGACTGGGATAACACGAGATTTGCGTCTGAGTTTCATGTGAGACATCTGAAAGTCAGGTTTTATGTGAAACATGATTGTTCACGTGAACCATGAAGGTTGACTGGCAGGCTTCGTGTGAAATGCGAATTATCACGGGCCAGACACGATTTTCAACGGTGGGGAATTCGTGAGAATGAAGTTATACAGAATATTCGAGACGAACATGACAGAGATCAGAGAGCTATATAATAGCGGAGAAAGGATTGAGAGGCAGTCTCGTTTAGGCCAAGGGAATGTCTACGTGAGAAGATGAAGTCCGGAAGAATGTTGGCGTCTGAATAGCGTGATTTCCCAATGCCTACCTGGCATGAAATAGCGGCTGACGGAAACGGTGGCCAGCTGTGAATGACTGTCGTCTGGTTGGATGGAATTACTGTGTTTCGCTAAGTTGTGGGATGAATTCTACGATGTTACAAAGGTATGACTGACTGTTTAGAT